GGCTGAATCGATGCTCAGATGCTATTCTAACATGTTATAAAACAAATTTAAATTTATCAATTTTAAATAGAATTTTCTAAACATTAATTCATTATTAAATTTAATGGTTAAAACTCTTAAGCAGCTTTCTTAAATTTTTCTTAAAATTTTTTTATAGTTTTTTTATAATTTTATTTTTTAATTTTTATGGTCTATGTTTTTATTTTTATTTTTGAATTTCTCTGATACTCAAAAATTTTAATTAAAAAATGTAAATTCAGTTCCTTTCATTATAAGTTTCAGATCCCTTAACTATCAAATAGTGTTCATAAATTACCTCAATATAAACGAATGGATGGTAGTGATATTTATTTTTTCGCATAATATGCAAATGCAATGCAGCAATTGTAGCAATGACGAAAATTTGCAATCCAATTTTAGATGGTTCTGAAGACTATAAAAATTTAATTGGTAAACAATTTTTGGAATGTGTTCCAACTAATTTTAAAAGAAATGTTCTTGAGTTATGATTTAAAACTATAAAAAATCTACTTTTCATTTCTAGTAAGCTTATTTTTATCAATAAAATGACTATTTAAAAAATAAAGCACAACCTAATTTAACTAAAATTATTATTGCTATTCTTGATATCAGCATCTCAACTTTGTCTAGCCGCAAAGTCTACGCACTTCCGTTCAGATATTTTTTGTTTCTGTGTTTTTATTGACCGACATGTGTAAATATGTATGTATGTCGAGCTTATCATACGGCTACAACTACTGCAGTGCGCCTTATCAAATTTGTTGGGCGTCAGCAGAAACTGCTACAGCTTATCGGCTCGACTTTATCTCAGGAAGAAGACTCTCTTTCTTAGCATCTGAATGAGGTAATGTTTGCCAAGCAAATATACGATAAACGTCAAAAGCACTTGATAAAAAATAAACTAAACGTAAATTTCGTTATTCAAGCGAATTGTTACTAAGTGTAAATAAATGCGCAATGGACAAGTTAATACCCTTGCATGCATTGAACAGATATGCGAATTGTTTGCGTAATATTGGCACAGAAAAACACCTATATACTATTGCAATCACTTGGGGAAATACCCGATATTACACTAGACAATAATTTTGTATGTATATATATGAATGTATGTAAGTTGGTATGAAAACATGATATCTTATAACAATTGTTTTAATATCTTATAACATTTCTACGTAATTCTCATAAATTTAAGCAGGAGTCTTTCATGTTATTATGCATAATTTTTATTATATTTAAAGTCTTGTCATACTAAATAAATTTTTATTCCGATTATATCTCAAATTTAAATTTAGCTTTTACTCTTTTAATGTAGTGCTTAATATACTCTTAACACAAAAGATGTCATAAAAATGCTTTGTCAAGATTTTATCGTTTTATCTACAATAAGTACTTGGTATACGGCTTTTTTCTTATGTTGGACAAAAAACTTAGTGATAAACACAATAAAGACAATTTAAAACGAATATTGGGATTAAAATATTTTGATTAATTTTGATGTTTTGTTTTACAAACTTATGGAAAATTAGCTCCAAAATATGGAAAATTAACTAAATTTAGTTGTTCATAAAAATAGTAGTGGTCAAACTTCATATACTGTTTTACATATAGTTTTGATTTAATAGTTACCTGTAAGTCCCTTTATCATATAGCTATTTGCAAAAACCTTAACTTTAACTAATAAAGATGCCCAAAGTGTTAAGACTCACTGGGAATATATAAATAGCATCAGTAAACAAAAATTTGTTCAGTTTTTATGAACTTCTAAATCAGTTTAAAAGTTTTTACAAAATGTTTTAATACTAAAGCTTTTTAAAAATATTTACTGTCGACACGCTATAAAATCTAACAAGTAACAGGCGAGCTCAACCGACTGCATAATACTCATTGACGACTCCAAAACTTTGGCAGATATATAGGGTTAATTTTTGAATTTCTAACTATAAAACTGTGATACAGTCTTAGATGACTTGCCACGACGCCATTGACAATTGATATATTTATTATAATTTTTCATCGTTAGTTCCCAACACGAGTATATATTCCCAAATTCAAGTCTCTAGATTCAATAGCAGCGAAATGGTTTGCGGTCATACGAACCGACGGACGGACTGCAAGAAAAACCAATATACTCGTTCACTTCGTGAATGAGTATAAAAGCAGACACCTATAATTTAATTTAATGCTTATATAGCGACACCTAGCGACGTCTAACGACTCTCGTTTTTTCAATCTGCTCGTCAAATTCTATTTTTAAACGCTTCAAGCATAAATTATATATTTTTTGTCCATTTAACAAATATTCTTTTTGGCTATTTAAATGGCAGATGAAAGCGTTTTATGTTGTGTTTACGAGTTATTAATTAGCTTATTAAAACGAAATCAATTTGCTTAATTTGTGAAAATGCCCGAATGGAAAACGTTTTTTATTTGGAATGAAAATTTAATGCTTGAGTAATTAATACACACATAATATGTGGAAACTAACAAATTTAAGAGAAAATTAAAAAAAAATTATTGATGTAATTTATAAATGTTGATAGATGGAATACATTAATTAAAAATGGAAAAAATATATTTAAAAAAAAACATTAATGACAAAATGAATTGTATAAAAAGAATTTAATATGAAATTATATATATATATATATTATAACCAATCAGGCATATATAATTATTGCAAATAAAGGCAAAAAGAAAAAATGTATACATAATTATATATTACATTTTCAACATATATATACAAGAAATCAATAAAATACCACAATAAAACCTATAGTAGATGAACTGTTATAATGTTTATATTATTATTATTTTCTAATTGTTATTCTATTATAAAAATTAGACTTTGTAGAAGAATCGTAAAGTTTCTTGCTTTTCATTTATGCAGTTGATTGTAAGAAAACAAAATATTAAAAATAAAATTTATAAATTAAATCAAATAATATAATTTGACTTACGAATTAAATTCCATAAAAGACAAATCCGAAATATTGAACGTTACAAAAACTTTATTCTGAATGTATTTTAGCAATTGTAGATGAAACAGTTTACTTTATTTATCGAATCAAAAAAAAAATAGATGAATTATAAAAGATTTATTTTGTTATTTTTATGAATAATTGATATATAAACTGAAAAATTCAATATGTCACAATTAATCAAACGACTGTATTTCCAAATGACATTTTTTGTGTATTAAAAAAAACCTATTATACCCGGAATATCCATTGTCAATGGTTTCAGGTTACAATTATGCTGGGATCGATTTGGAACGATATAAAAAAAACACGAGTGAAAAAAACCAGTTCAATATGAAAATATATCACTAAAAAATTCAACAAAAGTCGGCCAGGGTAGCTCGAAGTCTTTTATATGTAGACTATAAAATTCATTTTTTGCCTATAAAGATAATGATGGAAAATAACTGTATATAAGAATTTCAACCGGGCTGGTTTAAGCTAGAAAACATCTAAGACAATGGAAAACAGTATTTAAAAAAATATTTTTGAATTAAAATATAAATAAAATTTAAACTATAATCATTCAATTAATTCTTAAATGAGTTTAAGCCTTCAAATATTCAGAAAAATCTGTGGTTTCTAAAATATAAATAAAGTATCAATTAAAATAAAATATAAATAAAGTATCAATTTAGAAATGCAAATGACAATTAGAAAACAACAAACTGAATAAAGTATGAAAAAAAAATGTTTCCAAACTTCTAACAAAGACCCTTCCAACAATATTCTGCTACAATACCCTACTTCTGTATAACAGAAACCAATATAACAGCTTCAAATATGTGTGTGCAAGCAACAAACGGAAGTTTTAGTAACTGTTGTTGTTATGTGATAAAAAGCCGGTCAGACAGCGCGATATCAAAACTTTAAAATAACAGCAAAAGGCAAATGTCAACAACAACAACAAGCGGAAATAGCGTAATGAGTCGAATAAGAAACAGAAAGAAAACAAAGTAAAACATCAAATGTTTAAAAATACTTTTAAAAATATACAAAAAACTTACATCACAAACATTCACATTCACTAAAAAATTAGAAAAACAAAACCAAATACAACGACAACAAATGCAATAACTATTTTTGCTTTTGCTTTTGCTTTTTTGTCACTGATATTTGGGTTGTTGTTGCTGACGCTGTTACAAGCTTGAAATTTGATTTCTTTTGCTTTTGCTTTTGTTTGATATTTTTGCTTCCTTCTTCTTTTTTATCTTTCTCAATTTTTTTGGGTGAAAATAAAAGAAATTTGAAAACGCGCGGCCTAAATTGAGCAGACGATCGCTCTTATTGTTGTTGTAGTTATTGTTGTTGTTGTGGTTACTGCTGCTGCGCTGCCGCTGTGGGGCTCATGAATGAATTGCGCGATTAAAAACACAAAAGGCGTGACGCGTCGAACAACAACAGAAGCAACAACGACCACCACCACAACCATTGGCAACTAAATAACGAAACAAGTTTTGTGGCTCTGGCTTTGGCTTTGAAAAGTAGATAAGCGCAGAATATGTAGGCGAAAGAAAAAGAAACGAACTCAGGCTTCAAAATTTAACACCAAATAACAACAACCAATGACTAACATAGGCCTACACACAGTCACACACAGAAACATACTAGCCGAAGCACATGCATACAATTGCACAGAATGCAGACAAACTCACGCACGCACACACACACACAAACATATAGCAGACAGCTGATTTTTGGCCGCAGCTACAAAAAGCGCTTCTTGCTCTCTTCCCACCAATTAGAATTGGTTTATTTAGGTGACGCGCACATACACACGCACGCAAACAAACTCTAATACACTCAAACATACACTCATACACTATTACGCTGGCAGGCCGCACGCCTCGTACATTAATATTGTGTGTTACACTTGTTTTTATTGCTGTGATTGCGATTCGCCTCTGCATTTGACTCTGCATTTAGCATTTGCATTTAATTTTTACATTTTGTACACACCTTGCACTCTCACTGCTAAACACGCTTTGTTGTTATTTTTATATTTATTTTTTTTTGTTGACGATTTAAGTGTTATTTTGCGAAAATCTCATTGTTAGTTTCCAATTTCTTGTTTGGTGTTCTTATTGGCACGCGCGTGGCCACCCGCACGGTTGGAAATTTCTTTACAGACTGATTAACATCAGCCTGTAAGCTAGCGCATGTTGCATTAACAGCTGTTGATACATTTGGTATTTCGTTACATTGGCATTTTTTAGCGTTACTGTTAAGTTGTTTACACTCTGTTAGTTTTAACAGAGTAACAAGTCTGTTAAGTATTGGCTTAACTTTTGGTTTTTAAATATTGTTATAATTTAACTTGTATACTTTAACAAATATATATTAAAAATGCATATAGCACATATATTATGAAATTTAACGAGTTATTTTAAGTAGAATTTAAATGTTAAGTGGCAAGAGCCGATTTTTCTAATTGGAGTTTGTGCAGCTGTTAACAGTTGGGTTGCCAGACATTTGACTGTATTTCTTAAGGCGCGTAAATTTAAATCGAAAAATTTGTGATATTTTAGAGAAACTACAATTTTTTAGCATAGTTCTCTTTTGTTTTACAGTTCTTTAAAGATTTTTGTTGCTTGTCAACTCGTTTTCATTCCACATGCAACATAAGAATGGTAAACAAAGAAAACGACAGCAATTAAATTGGCTATAAATTCCTGAGTGTCTAAATTGAACATAATAGCATGCAGCAGTAGCAGCCGCAGCAGCTAGAAGATATATCATTAATCCACATTTCGCCTCACCATATCTGCCGCAGCTCGTCCTGCATCTGCTTGGCTATCAATCAATCAATCCATCAATCAGTAATTTTTTTTGCAAGTTAACATTTCAATCGCATGCCAAAGTAGCCAATGGCATGCAAATTTCTTGCCAGGTTGGTGACGATAATGATGACTGGTTGCCTGGTCAACAAATGTGTTTTTTGCTCTCGCTTGGACAGGTGCAAACAGGCATGAAATATAGCGATTTCTTCTCAATTTAGGAAGCTTCTCAACTCTTCAACAGTTTTCTTTATCTGATTTATGTTAACTTTTATGCATCAACCATTAGCTAAGGATAAGCAGCAGCAGCAGCTGCTGCCAACAAATTAATCCGAAAACTCAGGAAATTCAATTAAACGCATAAGCAGACACCTGCGCGCAATTAAGAGAGCGAACGGTAGCCCAATAAAGCTGAATCAATTGACTCGACGAATTTTAAATGTCCTAAAAGATCTCATAAAAATTAATTTTTATAAAATACATTAAATTTACATTTGTTTGAACATAAACAAAATAATTTCAATTTTTATATTTTTTGATAAAAAAAATGTATTAAAATATATATAATTATTTAAAAAATATGTAAAAAAGTTAATTTCAAGTAAAAATTTAAATGAAGAATAAACAAAAGTTTTTTATTGTTTAACAGAATTCTTAAAACAAATTCAAATTAATTCATTATTTAAAGGAATCTAAAAAAGTTCATATAAAAAATAAATATATATTTAAGAATTTATAATGATATGATGATATAATTTATAATTTATAAATAAATATATATAAATATTCTCGATTCATTGAATTTTAGTTTGAAAGTCGTCTTATACTCCATCCATTAACTTATAAGCTACCTGACACTTGATTTAGCACCATCTTATAATTGACTTATGTACATATAAGTAATTTCATACTAAATGCAATAATATATACATCATATTTCACTCAATGCATTGATTCAGAAGTCAACTTATACTCCGCTGACTTCTTAGTGACGTTTGAGTCCCTTTAAACTTGATTTGTTGACGTATAACTTGTCTTATACTCGAGTCATTCTCCTTAAGTCATATTTTCTTGCGTTATTGTCTTAAAGTTATCTTATCTTAAAATAATATTCATACTCAGGATAGAATAATTCAGGGCCAAGGCGAACCTTTCGTTCATAAAAAATAAAATAATTAAATTTTATTTTATATTCTTTTCAGTGGAACATTTTTTTTGGAACTGAACTTCTTTCGCTTTAAAATTCTGATTATAATTTATTTTTTATGTTTTTTTGGTATTCAAATTTTTATATTTAAGGAAATTTACTATCGCGTACTCGTACGACCAGAAATCCAGTTGCATAATAAACGTGCAACACGAATTTGGAAGGCTTCAACTTTTCGAGCTCTTGAATAACTATAAAAAATATTATTTGATATAAAAATTTGATGTCTTATGGGTTGCATGTTGCCTAATAAAATTATAAGGCTCATTGCAAGGGTATAATAAAAAAAAACGAGAGGACGAAGAAATTCACACTTGCCACACGTGTGTGACGACGGTGTGTGCCGGCTAGTGGGGGCGTGCCAGTAGGCAGTAGGCAGCAAGCAGTTAAAGGAAATTTAAAGAATAAAATATGATACGCCCCTGCCCACAGTGCCAACCCCCAGCCCCCAGCTTCCCATCGTAACAAAGCAAGACAACGTGCCAAAGCGGAAATTAAATTTTTGTCTGCTTATGGGGAATACCAAACGGAGCCAAAAGGAAATTTTATTGACCTCAGCAAAAGATTTCTTTAAAATAGATTCTACTTAAAGAGAAACTAAGAGAGTTGACAAATTTTTATTAATTATTAATTACATAAATAAATATAGAATATAAAATATAAATATAGAATATATAATTATCAAAATATGAATAAAGAAAAACATAAATATATAAAATCTAATAAACAAATATAATAAACATTATCAAAATATATTCTACTTAATTATTTATCATTCTGCATTTTTAGTATATAAATTATAAACAAATTTATAATTAAAAATATTTTAATACATTAAGATTAAATAAAATTTAAATAAGTAAATAAATTTCAAATTTAATTTTAAACAAAAAATTAAATTAAGATATGTTTAATTAATTTATAAATTAAAAAGTTAATAAAAAATACTTGTATGTCATATGCTATTATTATTAAAATAAAAATTTATTTAGTTGATTTAGCAATTATTAAAATATATTCTTTGTCTTTTTCTAATAATAGAACATAGTAGCCAACTAAAAATAAAAACATTGTTTTGAATCAAGGCTCAAGTACTGTCAAAGCAGCTATCAAAATTTCTGGTATATTCACTCTGTGGTTCTCTTGTTATGGGTGAGCCAAAGAGTCAAGGGCTTGGCTGATCTTTCGGGCGATTCGTGGACTAAACTAGAACTGGATTTACTATGAATAACATTGATATAGCGTCGTTAAGCTCGGCGCTGCGAGAGGACTACGCAGTTCGACTGGATGCCATTGAGAGTATCGATAATATCTATAAGACCTATGTACCAGAAACTGTAGAGCTCGAGCAAAGCGCCGCATCCACGACCACCTTGAAGGACGAAAATATATATAACTCTCAAGAGGATGGTACAGAAATCGAAAAAGTTAAAGAATATGCAGACGGTGAAAGAGGTAAACAAGACGACGAAGTTAAAGCAGAGAAAACTGAAGACGATGCCTCAAAATCAGAAAATGCAGAGATCTCAGAAGACGACTCCTCAAGATCGGAAAATGTAGATAAAACAGAAGACGAATCCTCGATATTGGAAAACTTAACAGAAACCCCGAGTGGATCACTAGTAGAAAAGAAAACGTAAGAAATCAAAAAGAAGTTGATTGAACTACCTTAAGAAATTGATTAACTTGAAGGTTTTTTTGCTTTGGTAGATTTGTATTTCGCATGCATTCTGGGGAAATAGAAACTAGAACACTCGATGAGAAATCTAATTCGAAGTGTCCCAAAGCCAATAAATACAAATGTGAGTAGAAAATCTTAGACAGATCCGAAATGAAATGGGAGATGAATGAGGAGAGATGAATGATGAGGGACGAGAGATGAGAGATGAATAATGAGAGATGAATAATGAGAGATGAATGATGAGAGATGAATGATGAAAGATGAATGATGAGAGATGAATGATGAGAGATGAATGATGAGAAATGAATGATGAGAGATGAATGATGAGAGATGAATGATGAGAAATGAATGATGAGAGATGAATGATGAGAGATGAATGATGAGAAATGAATGATGAGAGATGAATGATGAGAGATGAATGATGAGAAATGAATGATGAGAGAGATGTTAATATATAAATGATAGATGAATGAAGAGATGAGATAAGGGAGATGAATGATGGGGGAAAAGTTATGAGACAAAAGATGAATGATGATAATAAAAATATAGATATATATATATAGTTTTATATAGATATATAGATACATATCTAGATACACAAATATTTTACATATACTTAAAATTGTAAATATTTCTTCCATAGATTATTCGAGAATAAGAAGTCAAATGCAATCGAGGTCAAATGAAGGAATGGGGCAGGTTGGCGCCACGGAATACTATGCCAGGCAGATGGGCTTGCCCATGGCTTTGGGAATGGGATGTGGTATGGGAATGGGAATGGGAATGGGAATGGGAATGGGAATGGGCATGGGATATGAAATGTCTGCAGGCAACGCCAATCAATTTAATCAGGCAACCGCGTTGGGCTCCTATCAAAATCCCATGCCAGAGGCTGATTACTTTAAGTACGTGCAGTCTCAGGATCAGTCATTTCCTGGAATGGACTTTAATTATATGCAGCTCCAATCGCAGCCAATGTATCAGCAGAAGCAGCAGCAGCAGCAGCTACAGCAGCAGCGCAATGAAGCTGGATCCAACACCAATAGCAAGCAGTACTTTAATACATCCATGATATATAGCAAAGCTAATTACACGGCGTCCGAATCTAGTCAAATGGAAACCCTCAAAGATTACATTGATGCCAATGGGCAGAGGTCGGATTCGAATTCTGGGGACCAAGATCAAAACGAATCTGTTGAGGTGGTGGACCCGTCTAGCCAGGAAAGCAAACAGCCAAATATATTAGGTGACGTCCCGCAAATGAGAAAATGTCCTGGCTACTCATGTCAAATGAACGCCTCGGAAGGCTATACTTGTGCGCAGAACGGAGAGCAGTCCAATGGCATGCATGCAGCTGGCAACATGGAATCCATGGGCGGCTGTGCATTTAGCCCCAACATGATGAACTTGTGTTGTCCCCAAGCCATCGCGGATTGCCAATCCATGTACTGCCAGCCAGTATACCAGCCACAGCCAGCATGCCAGCCACAGCCAGCATGCCAGCCACAGCCAGCATGCCAGCCACAGCCAGCATGCCAGCCACAGCCAGCATGCCAGCCACAGCCAGCATGCCAGCCCATGACCAGCTCAGGCCCAGTTTACTACTCACAAATGCCGCAGTCCGATTACTCCAATTGTTTAGACATTGAGGGCTTCATAAAGCAGGTGCTGGAAAAGCAACAGTATTATAATTCCAACTCTTTGTCTGGCTGCTCGCCACCGTCTCAGAGTATAGGTGCTGGCATGGCCATGGACTGTGGTCCCAACTCGAATCCAACACCTTGGTTAAGGTCCGTCAATGCTTCGCTGCAGGATCAGACTGTCTACACCGCGGACTATAAGCCCGTCACTGCGCCGGGCAACAATTTCAATCACTTTCCCAAGTGTGACACCTGCGGCGATCGCGCCAGCTGCGACGGCTGCAGCACCTGCTGCAACTGCTTGAGCTATGCGCCTCCAGTAAGGTAAGCACTGATGACCTAACCTATTTGGTAAACCTGATATAGTAAATAACTCTGCATTAGTTATTGTGTTCCTGCGCCCTGCATGATGATGCCCCCATCAACTAGCTACTCGATGCTTCCATGTGCTGACTCTGGTCCTGCTGCGCCCAGCATGCCGTGTAACTATGTCTGTTCAGCGCCTTGCCCTATGCCTTGCCCTATGCCTTGCCCTATGCCTTGCCCTATGCCTTGCCCTATGCCTTGCCCTATGCCCTGCCCCATGCCCAATCCCATGTCCTGCCCCATGCCCAATACCATGTCCTGCCCCATGCCCAATCCGTCTAGCGCAGCTCCTTACAATGCCTCCTGCTTCGGTGCTCCTTATGAAATGCCAATTGACGGCGACTCCGATTCGCTGTCACTCAAGAATTTCGTAAACCAATCAACCAGCTGTAATCTCAGCCAATACTCGAGTAAGTAGAGCAATGATCACTGTCAAGAAGTCTACAATTAATTCTCTAACCCTCATCCTATCAGGTTTGAAATGACCGCCAAGCTGCAACTGTTCGATTAATATATATTTAAATAATTTTAGATAAAAGAGAAAAATATGTGGTTAAGAAGCTAATAGTCTATTAAAAAGTCATGAAAAACAAATTCAAGCTGTGGTTTTCAATCTAAAAGGGAAGATTACAGAAAAATCATTTGGATCCTTGGGCTAAATGGGTTTGGAAACTCGATCTTGCGGCAAATAAAAACAATTAAATGAATAAATATTTGCAGTAAGAATTAAGCTTAAAAGCCTACCTACACATAACCAAAAATAAAAAATAATTTTAATAATAAACAAATACTTAAAAATAAATTCGAAATTTTGATTATATCTGCCATTAGTTTAAATCTAGCAAATTGTAACAAAATGTTTTTTTTATATTAAATATGCTTTTAGTATAAAAACAAAAAAAATCCAAATTGATTTTTGTACTCTGCATATTTTTAGATATTAAAATAGTTTTAACCCACATTTCATATGCCCTTCATATGAATTGAAAAAAACAAGCGTTTTTATATATAATGTTTTTTTTTTTTTTTTGAAAAAAAGTTTATTACAAAATATTGCATTGACAATTAATTTGATTTAATTGTTCCATTTGAATTTCAGTTATTACACTTATAAAAAATGAAATTAAATATTTACTATGGATGAGTAGATGAAAAACGTAGCACCGAGCGCAAAAAACAAGCACAAGAATTAAGCTAGAGCTTAAATAATTTTGAAAATTACAAATAAATTAATTTTCCGTTTTTTTAGTGCAACTTTAACTATTTAAGCGACTGACTTAAATAGTAAAATCTAAGCACAAGCTTCAAGAAGGGTTTCAAGACTTTTTCTTTTCTCGTTCACAAAATTATTTTCGCTGCTACAATTTTCGTTTGTTATTGTTGTTGTGGGAGGTGGAGGGGGCGTGGGTAAGATAAGAGAACTATAAATTAATTTTGATTTGATTATCAGTTTACAATTGCATTTAACTATGGTATATTGTATATTGATATTTAGTTAGAGCTTGCATTAAATTAACATTTAACTATTTGCATTTAAGTTTACCGTTTACGGGGCCAGGCAGCAGCCGAGTTCTTGTTTCTTTACTATTTAATGGACAAAGGTTAGTTAGTCTATCAAATAAACAATTCAATTTTGATTTTGTTATTTACTGTGATAGCGAATACTTAATCTCAACATTGCTTGAATCACAGCTTATATAGTATACACACATGTATATATGCATGTATATATAGAAAAGATCGTGAATATTGAGGAATACCTCACCTGGCCTTAACTATTTCATTTCTCTTATTGTTTTTCTCATTTAAATTATTGGAATTGTTTTTATCGTTACGTTTTGTTTGCTTTTGCGTTTTGCTGGTGGGGCTGGAAGTTGTTCTTTTTTTCTCTTTTTGTTTATATAGTTAACGTACACACATACACATATTTATATATATATAGACATTATGCTGGCTATATAAAATCTAGGTTGTGTTTATGCGCTGACAAAAAATATATATATAGATATAACTGTATGTAATGGTAAATGTTTTAAATCCTGTTACAGGATTTGCTTCAGCTATTAAGTAGAATTACAATAAAACAAAATATACACACATATATATATGCAGCTACACATATACACATGCATATCATATGTAAACATTAATTAAAGAATACAAAATACGATTCAAATACGAATACAGTTACAAATATCCATATAGTTGTGTCTGTGTCTGTGTCTGTGTGTGCAGCTTGTAATGACAAAAAGTATAAATTTGATTTATGTAGTTTGTTTATGTTTTTTATGCAACAAATAGCATCACTGGAATAGTTTATGCCACGCGGCGGCAATTCAATCGAGTGGTCTTTATCTTATTCAGTTTCCTCTGCATTTAGATATATTTATATAGATATAGATATATCGATATATAAGTAGACATGTGTGAAATTGCACTAAAACTAAATGCTACAACATTTAAAAATGGATTTTTTCTCGTTCACGTTTTATATATATATATATTATGTATACATGTAGGTAGAAAATCTAGCAGCTCTCTTCTAAACCAATTTCGGTTTTGGCATTTTCTTGTTATTACAAAATATTTTTAGATTTCGCTTTACTTCGATTTCATATATATATATATATGTATATATATGCATATAAAAAACATTTACATGAACTAAAAATTAAAATTTGATTTTGCTGTTTTTGTGTTACTTTTCTTTTAATATTAAAGTTAAATAAACTTCTAAGTCTTTTCATTTTCCATGTGTGCTTCAGTTACTATACATAATCCGTTTATATATATTTTTATATATATATTTTTATGCATATATAGCAAAAACTTTATATAATTTAATAAACTCTGCCAGCACAACAACAACAATAACAACAAATGCAACACTTGGAGCACATAATTGTATATATATATACACATCATTTCATGTATATATATAAAAAGATTTTAAAAATTTGGCTGCTTACAAAAATTTCTTTTCTTTTCATTTCATTTAATTTTTAAGTGCTATCAGTTTGTTTTCTCAAAATGTCGTTGCTGCTGCTCACGTTGTTGTTCCGGTTGTTGTTGCTGTTGTTGTTGCTTTGGCAATGGGTTCATCGTTTAGGCACATGTTTTCAGAGCTTACACATAGAGCGCTTAACACTAAGCATAGATATACTAATACTAATCATATAAAACTTTTTTTTGTTGTTCTTCCTTTTTTTTTATCTGCCTTAAGCCTGGCTGCGGCATCGACAGCGTCCCATGGTCCTAAAGAGCAATTGTCAATGCTCTCCGCGCAGCAGCTCCATCAACAAATTGAAATCTGCGCCATCGCGCGTCTTAATCGTCAGCATCTCCTTGCCCAGCTGCAGTCAGTATAAGAGTGAGAGAGGGAGAGTGTTAAGGTTAAAGTATCTTTCAGATACATGCTCAGTTTTCATTCACTCACCTGACACGTGCGCTGCAGATCGGGTATGCGCAGCAGCAGCTCCCCAAACTTGGACGGCGTATCGGGATAATGGGCCAGCGTGTACGCCTGCAGAGCCTGCAGCGCCTTCTCCTGGCACTCGCGCACCTTGACTGCCTCATGCAGCTCCGTGGTATCTAGATATAATGTTTGCCTATTAGTTTGAACTCTTTTAGTATTGCTTTAGGCAAGTACTTACCGGACTGCAGCAGCACAATGACTTTCATGGCAACATATTCGTAACGATCCACGCGCAGGCGTCTCAAGTGATCCGTCAGATTCAACATGCGCTCAATGCAGGCCTGAAAAAGAATTTATAAGTTTATTATAAGAGTGAGCTTAATGTTGATAGAAGTTGAATGAGAGAATAAGCTCTTTGGCTGGCGTATTCAAGTGAACTACTGAAATAAATATGTGAACTGTGCTCTGATTCGTTTTCTATTACCAGTTCATAAATTATTCGTTCTTTTCATATTATTCTCAAGTTTATAAGCACATCTTACATTTTTAACATATTTATCCTAACCCAAAACAGGACAAACCCTAAAAAATGTTTGATAGACAAAAATTAAATTATATTTATCTGAAGATCTCTTGACCTGTTTTTTAGTTTGCTTACTAAATCATTTTGATTTGTGTAATTGATAATAATAAACTGAATAACTGAACAAAAGGTAGTTCTTACTTTATTGCTAAATCACTGAACTAGTTCTTGACTATGAGATAGGCTATGAGGCTTATTCATCAAGATAATCTCAAATTTCTTTACTAATCAAAAAATATATATATTTAACGAGTTTGTACGTTGTACAATGATTGTTACTAATCAACAAATTAACAAGCTTCAGCACACAAAATGTGAGCAGGTTGTCTGTATAGCAATTTCAATAACCTCCCGGTTCTATCGGCAGGCAGACTTCGCTACGGTTCGTCTAAGCAGTAACCATTTGAGAATTGTATGGTTGCTGTTGTTGCAAAGCGAAGCTCACTCAATGGAAGACAATTGTGAGACTGAGAGAGCGGCGTTCTCAAACAACTAAACAGCTATCAAATGGTCTGGTATGCAGACTGTTTGGTACACTTTTGTTATGGATTTTCAGATTATTACTAATAATATTACAACTAAGCAACAGATATATATGCAAAATAGTTGTTCATATACTATATAACTTAATAAAACTAAAGAAAATACAAACATAAGAAACTTATTGCATAGCTTAAATAATCTGTTACCCTAATATACTTCACTCTAGGTCATTTATATTTATATTATATTATAATATATTTATTACATTTGTATTGTGTTTATATATTAAGCTTTGCTATTTAAAGGTCAGTTCTAATTTCTTTACATCACAAGCTGCTCTTAGCAAGAGCTTTTTAAAATTCATACAAACTATGATCTATGTCTAGAAAGGAACTGGTTCATATCGATCATTAGCGATCAACTGACCTGTATTTTGAGCTACTCGAACATAAATAAATACAGCAGAAATAAGCGAATATCAATAAAAATCTCTGGGCATCTCGACAACACAATTTAGTTTAGCCTAAACTGACTGCTTGAGCCACAAACATATTTAACTACAGCCACACTTCGTAGCCCACCTGTAAGCCATTAGTCTTGGCCTGTGCCAGTGTTATCTTTCTGCCCTGCGACATCTTGATCTCGCCTGGCGTGTCAATGGAACGAAAACAGCAGGAGAAGAGCAGCAGTTCACACCACGAATTGATGAGCAGGCAAATCTGATCGTCAATCTGGAAGACAATAAAGATGCAGATTATATAAACAGTTTTTGCTAATATAATCAATGCATACTCACCGAGATGTTCTTGAAGAGCGGCAAACTCTTGCACCATTTGACGATCTTGTAGAGCCGATGATCGGCCACATTGCAGAGATGGGCAATCAGATCGGGATTGGCGTTCTCGCCGTTGGACGAGAGACCAGCACTGGCCAGCAGTGGATTGGTCATCTGTTGTGCATTGGCAGTGTGCTGTCCGGCGGAACTTGAACCGCCACCCGAGGCGCTCGACGAGGAGCCGCCAGATGCAAATGAGGACAGCGGCTGATTGATGCGCGCCAATTCCGCATCAGTATATTGCCAGAGATGTTCAACATCCATGATTTCCTGGTGGGGGTAGAGAAAATCAAACGATTTGTATAAGCAAATGGCGAGAGCTAGAACTAGACACAGATTCTTTGCTAAGATGACTAACGTTTTCAGTTGACTTTGTCAAGCGTAACCTCTTGAACAGCTACCAGAAACGAAGTAAAATAACTTGTGTCAGTTAAAAATCTAAAGAAATCTAAAAGGAAAGTAGCATTCAGTAATATCTTTGCTCTTTCTTGAACTGTTGAGGCATCTATGTTATTTCTATTTACAAAAGAAAAAAGTTCTTCGTCTACTTTAGCTGCAAGTTACAAGTTTTACAAGTAGTTCTAGTCGCTATCAGTATGTTGATATTTGAAGAAAGTTGAAGGATCAGTTAGGCTAAGCCAATGAGCAGATAGCCGTATTAGAAAATTCCTAAGTCGAATATTTCGAGCTATAAATGAAGCAACTCTATCTGGGCCAATTAACTTTTTATTGACATACCTAGACTAGACAACATATTGAACGACGAACCTTGAATGAAATGTGTTTAGAAAGTCCAACAGACTGAAACACTGAAGTTGCTTTCAAGCAGGGAAGGGAGGTGTGACATCAGTCCATGAAACATACCTCAGAATTGACCGCATCTGAAAAACTTTTTCAGACAGCTATTAAATATATCCCCTCTCTTTAGGAGATAACTGAGCCACAAGAGACATTTCTCTTATGTGTTGCAGGACTAACTGCCAACTCTGTCCTCTTCATAAAATAATATGCCTAGCAGCAGGGCAAAAGCTTATGCCTACTTATAAAGATAGTGCCATAGATCTGGTCAAGATAGTCAAATATAACTGGTCAACGTCTTGCAAAAGCTTCATGACGAATTAGCCACCAGCATAACTGAGTACCTAAGAACTAGCTGGTTGGCAAAGCTAATGCAAGATTTCCAATCAAAAGTGTTTTCAAACATGTTCTCTAAAGATATTAATTGAGTTACCAGAAGAAAGATACGTCGATCAGTCCATGACTCGATCTCAAAGTCGAGTCTAATGTAAGCCAAAATCTCTAAGCTCAAAGATAATACTAAGAAATTTTAGTTGATCTTCACTCACCTGCAAGAGGGCTGGAATGCTTGAGGCTCGCGATGATGCATGATGATTGAGCGACTCTGTTTGCTCCGTCTTGATGGATGCGCCGAGACTGGGACTGGCCGGCAGCGAACTGGACCCACTGCCAAAGCCATTGAGTGCAGCGTGTGGTTGTTGCTGTTGATGCTGTTGTTGGTGCTGGTGCTGGTGCTGTTGCTGCTGCTGCTGCTGCTGATGATGATGTTGCTGCAATCTCTGCTGCTGCTGCTGTTGTTGTTGCTGATTGACCACGGCGGCAGCTGCTGCTGCGGCAGCCGCTTGATCTGGACTGAGCAGCGGACTGAGCATTGAATTGGGCAGCGTATAGGAGCATTGGTAGGTGGAGCGACCGCCACGCGTACGATCCTCACGTATGGCCTCCAACTTCATGCCCTTCTGCAGGCACTTCTCGAACCGGCAGGCCGGACACTTCTTGCGCGTGGAGATGCTCACCTGGCAGGGGCCGCCGCGCACGCACACATAGTTCTTGCGGTTCTGGACGGTGCGCTTGAAGAAGCCCTTGCACGACTCGCAGGAGAAGATGCCGTAATGAAAGCCGCTAATCTTATCGCCACAAATGGGACAGGGCGAGTTGATTAGCTGCTGCCGCGAGATGCCCGCCGGCGAGGCTGGCAACGTGGCAGAGGCATCGAGTGCCCCACTGCTGCTGTTGCCATCCATGCTGAGATTTTGCGCCTCCTGAGCAGCGGCAGCGGCAGCTGCAGCATCCACATTCAAAGGCGGATACAGCACGCTATGATGGTGCAGTGCCCCAGCTCCGCCATTGGCATGGCCCGAAAACATGGCTGAGCCAGCGGGCGGCGCATGACGCGCCTGAATCGGCGAGTGGGTGGGACTGAACTCAGAGCTGTAGCTGTAGCAGCTGCTGTGCGAGGCGTCGCTGTTATTCCTACTCAGCGAAGGCGTATAGGGGGCGTGGCGTGACGTCAGCGGCGACTGCGACGGACTGCTGTGCGTGTAGACGGAATGTATGGCAGAATCGGGACTGGGATTGGCGGGCAGAAGAGGCAAATGACCGCCGCTGCTCGACTTGCTGCGATCGCAGAGCGAAGTTGTCGAATTGGAGGTGGAGGCTGGTTCATACTTCAGATTAATCGGATCACTTTGTGTGGGCGCTAGCTTCAGCTTGTAGCTCTGCTGCTTGTGGCTTTGCAGCTGTTGCTGCAGCTGCTGCTGCTGTTGCTGCTGCTGTTGCTGCTGCTGCTGCTGTCGCTGCTGCATCTCGCCTGCTATGTGCTCCAGCTCCGTTTTGATGGGCTGCAGCATGGCTGTCACCTGGCGGCTAACAACGCCGCCGGCACTGCTCGACTCACTTTTCACAACTGTTTCCGTTTCCATGAGCTCCTCATCGGGCGCCTCCTGTCCGTTCGTTTCGGCATCGCTCAGCTCGCCCTCCCAGGACATGGGACGTGGGCCATTTTTATCGGCCGCCCGTCTACGCACCTTCAGATTCTCAATGTTGGCCAGCTCCGCTTCCGAATCGGATTCGTCCTCCTCCTTGTTGTCGCCGCCTCCTCCCAGCGGTATGCGCAGGCCGTGATTGTGATTGTTGTGATTATTATGATTGTTGTGATTACTGTGATTGTGATTATGATTATTATAGTTGGCTATGACCGGCACCAGGTTCCCATTCGGCGTGGGCAGCTCGTCCAGCTCACACTTGATGTTCGTCACGGACACATTGTGACGCCCGGTGGGCGTGGACATGTTAACGGGCAGCTGATAGCTGCCACTGGCACCTGGAGAAACGCTTTGCTCCGTCTTAATGCTCGACATATTGGGCATCCTCAATGGCTCAATTGTAATCCTTATTCCAATACTTGATTACAAAAAACTCTTAAGCTGTTTTTACTTGTGCAATTTGTAGAAATTGGAGAGATGTCGTTGATGCAGTTCCATTGTGTTGTAAATCTGTAAGAGAGCAAAATCGAGACATGACAATATGTTTCACAAAGGGAAAAATAATATATAAAATATAATAAAAGCAATATTTATTTCGTAGTATTAGTTTAGTATAAGACATTGCTTATGAAGTTTTAAATTATAAGTCAGTAGTACCTCTTATACAAATAATTCTACTCGTATTAAAATTAAGAATTGAGATTTATATTTTCAATTTATTATTTTAAGGTAAAGTGTATCCAATATTTTCGTGTTATTAATATTAAATGTTTCCAATTTAATATCATTTGTTTTTAATTTTATTTATTATTTAGTTTATTTGATCCCAAATTATTATAAAATTGATTTGAAATATATGTGTAAAAAACCAGGTTATAAAATAAAACAAAGTTTAAAAAAAAATTTTAAAAATTACAAATTGCAAACAATCTTAAATAATACAATGTGTTAAATATACTTATTTTTAAAGCATTTTTTATTTTTCAAAAGTTTTGTTTGTATTTTTTTTATATTTTTCTATTTATATTTTAATGAATTTATTTTAAAACGTATTAAATACTTAAGTTTCCCTTAAAAATTATTTATATGAGATATATGTGGTTTATTATTTCTAAATAAATTTTTAAACAATAATTGAGCAAAATTGAGCTAATTTTAAAATTCGATATATATAGATTTAACTAAATATATTCAAATGCTCTATTATAGAGCTGTGAAAATCAATTTAAAGTAAATCGTTCGAGTTCTTATCCAAAGGAATCCATATCAAAGAAATTGCAAAATTGGAAAGCACACGTCTCAAGTGTATTTTATTTATGAATGTTTTATGCCCAATTAAAAAGTAGATAAAAAGTAAACTTCAGCATACTATATTTTCAGTTTTCTGCTTTTTGCTTCGCAATTCTTACGAATAGACGTGTCTGTTGCTGCTTAATCCAACAATATACACCAGCTTTTATATCTCTGTATATAAAAAGTTTACCATAGTCTTTTGCATAGTTATACACAATTTTACCAATTCTGAATGCTTAAATAGGTTAATAAAAAAAAGCAGCTCATTTAAAGTTTATAGACAGCAAAAACAAAAACCTTTTGGTGCAAGAAACCTGAATGAGTCTTCAATAGCAGTAAAAATCATTATGTAAACCCTCCTCAAGTCAGTTCCATAAATGAATCACATTTTGTGAGCTGTACATAAAAGACAGTGATGTTAATATAAAATAGGGATTGAATATACATATACTCTATCTCTTTCACTCTTTGTACACATGTTTGTAGTTTGCATACAAATTTCGTTACTATGCGAATTATTACTCATATAGAGAATCATCATTCAATAGAGATTTTCAACGAACGCTGCCTCGTCCCCGTCAAAATCGACGACGACCTTGGCCTCTGCATGAGTCTGAGACAGAGGCGAGTTATGCTAATTGGAACCGCGACATGTGTACTACACACACACATATACGCACACATACATAAACAGAGAGACAGTTATTACACTGTCCATCGTGAATCGCCGTGCTTGTTATCAGCGGCGAATACGAACAATAGCTTAAAGCAAGCAGCAGAACAATAGCGCCAGCCGACGAAAAATGTCAACGACCTTAAAGCAAAAGAGGCGAAAAAAGCCGATGGAATATTATAATAAAATTTAAGGTACATTAACCCAAAACCGAACGAACGCTCGGCCGGCAGCTGAAAACGGTTTGTGGCTATGAGAAGGGCGCGGCTAAACGAGTCCAACTATAAAGGGCATTGCTAATGACAACGATAAGAGTAGGTGCAAAGGGGGTTGGGCAAATGCGTTTCACTTTTTGGCATATTAATGTTAAGTGCAAATGCAGTAAATTGAGTGCAGCTGACGTCGACCACAGGCTAATGGGCATCTTTTGTTTAGTCGGTACAACAACCCAACACACGCAGCGGCCAAGACGCCAACCGGCAACTGAAAATACAAATTGAGAGAGAGAGAAAGAGAGGGAGAGAGAGAACACACACGCAAGCAAGTGAGCGAGAGCGACCGCGAGCGCAGAATGGGTAAAGGACGACCTTCAAATAATGTTGAAATTTGTACGCAAACGACCTTGTATACAACAACAACGAGAGACGACGAAGCAACCACGAAGACGCAGCGACGACGACGACGGTGGCGACAGCGAAACGAAGCAGGGCAGTCAAACTGTTCATAAACACACACACACAAATAAAAGACGACAGCGCGGGTGAAACGTCGTCGTCGGCATCGTTGCCGTAAAGAGCGGAGAGCGCAAAACCATGCGACGAAAGAAAGAACAAAAAACTCAGCAGTAGCAACAGCAGAGGGGAAAGCGTGCATGAGTGTGAGCAGCACAAAAGAAAATAAACAAAAATTTTGATATCAAGAGCGTCGCTCCATGAGTTGCGCTGCGAGCAAGCAATCAAGAATAATTCTCGTAGTTAAAGTTGTGTGGGTGCTGAGAGGTCACAGCGAGAGAGAGAGAGTGTGAGTGGGCAACCCGAAATGCTGACCAAGCAGAGAGCGTGCTAATGAAATATCGTGAGGGGCAGAGAGTCGAGAGCGTGAAGTGGTCAGACGCTGTTGTAGTTTGTATATATATATACATTTTAGGGAAATATAACCATTCATATGTATGTCTGTATGCATTAATGTTTATGCGAGCGTATGTCTGTACTTGGGACCCGACAAATGCAGCCAAGCGATTTGATGATGGCTCGTTTCTGGTTATAAGTATAGACACACACACACATGCACAAAACATACTTTCAGCTAGAACTGTACCTTGTTAAACGAAGTGGGAGCCATTGATTAGTGCGGAAGTGCTAAATGTAACGGTCGCTGGCCTTTTCCATAACTAAATGCGTGTTAACTTATGAGTTTTGATAGTTGAATGTATTAGCAATTTGGCCTAACTGAATATTTAAACAGCATAGACATAAATACTCAAATTATAATTAATATTAGTTTTTTATATTAGGTTTAATGGAAAACCGTCTGTATTCAGTACTTTTTCAACTTTTAACTTCAGCTTTTCAGCTTAATCAATCTATCTTGTACGAACTATTCAATTATACAAAAAAAACAAGCTACAAGCCGTAGGCACTTCGGTGAACGCCCCCATTCGAACTACCTTTCCATTTGTGACTGTCAAAGTTTTAGCCATTTACTCGAGTCATAATCTAATTACGTATGTATTATGTCTATACAAGTCTCGCTGGCTGGCACAACCTTTGGTAGTATCTTTTAGCCATGACATATTGCCAACTGCATGCCAAGAGATATAAATTTTTTTTTACAATTTGACAAGCCCCTGAAAAAAAGCATAAAGCACAAATGGCATACCGAAGCTGTTGGGGGCGGCAAAGGGGGGATTACTAAACTAAAGTTGTAGCTGTTGACCGAGAATCGTCTGTGCTAGGAATGTGCAACGGCTGCCCCTGAGCTACGGGCGACTTGTCTGCCGTATATCGATTTTATCAGCACAAAATGCTTTTGACTTTGACAGCTCACAAAGATGAAGAAAAAAAAACAAGTAAAAGTGTTCCCAAAGGAAGTGAAGGACTAGGAGATACCCTGTATATGCTAATATAAAATTAGTTATAAATTGAAATATTCAATAAATTATTTGACAGCAGGTCTTAGGTAGCGTATATTGAATGGGAACAGATAGTTAGGTGAAGAAATATGGTTAATTGTAGGCAAAATAGTTAACTATATTTATTAAAGTTTTAGTAAACTCAAAGATATGGTCTACAATGTCAGATTAAAGACGAGAAAATATTCATCAAATATTGATTTTGGGTGAATATTATTTCTCAAAATTTGGTCAAAATTGTATATCGAATATTCAACAATAAAAAAAAACCTTAATATTATTATAGGGAATATTAAAATATACTACACTTTTAAACTCTTAATTTTCGACTGTTCAAGATCTGGTCAATAACATGGACAGTCTTATAGACCTATACTGATTTGGTTTATAGATTTATTTATTTATATACTTTCAACCAACGAATACTGTTACAAACGACTGCAGAGTGCTAAGATACCCATATTTAACTACTCCATATACAGTGGGTTTTGGGTATTTAGAGGGAGTAAAAAACTCAACTTCAACTTGCTTTACAACTCCTGCCAGACAAAGGGGTTGACCTTCACATTACAGCGTTTTGTTTTTCTCCTTTTTTGTGTTGTTCACTGCGGCGTTGCCGCGTGGTCTCCTTTGGATTTTCCCCCATTTTCGATGGAGTGAAACGCGGAAATGCTGCCGCCTAACAAAATGGCGACGTACTTGCATGCTGTCGGCTTGCCATTGTCGTGCTTGTGGGCGAGTGTGTGTGTGTGTGTTGTGTGGTAAATCCATGTCAATAATATTCACGACATTGACATGCTTTGTGGGCCAAAAGCCCCGGTCGGTCGAGCTAGCCAAATGGGGGTTGAGTATCCAGGAGCCAAGCCCCGGTTGAAGTTGTTCTTGGTGGTGCCGGTGGTGGTGGTTTGGCATTGACGTTGACGTAGACGTTGACGTGCACGTTAACGTTAACATTGTCGTTGTTATTCAGTTGTTGTTGCTTCTCGGCATTTGGGGAGTTTGGCGCTTGGAGTTCGTTGTGCCCACTGAATGGGAAGTTGGTTTCAATTATGCGTAACATGAAAGCGTAAAGCGCATTTAATGGGGGAAATTTCCATTTGGCTGTAGGGTGCTCTAATTGGAGAAAATCGACCCTTTCTCTCTACCCCCACCGAAAAAAAAGCTGTACAACGCAATTGTTTAGGGGTTGTTAAGAGGGAGTCAATGCGAGAGAGAGAAAGAGAAAGAGTAAGAGAGAGAGAGAGAGCGAGCAGGAGTTCGACATTTTGCTGGTATGGCAGATAATGTGTAACCAGGAAAGCAGATAATGTTGTTATCTTGTGGGTGTTGAAATGCTGTTGGGGATTAATTTGACGAAGTAAGACGAGATGCGGTACTCTGGGGTATATAAATTAGCGCTTAGTTTTGGAACTT